AAAGTAGATCAGGACGGTTCGACTATTGTCTTTCCAGCACTTGTTTCATAACCTGATAATACGTTGATTCGGTCTGGAGTATTGGTAAACAATCTCCGTTCCCGTCTCTTATCAAGTTCCTAGCGGCATATTATGCTGATGATGATTAGTACTATTATCATCAGACGCATCAGCACGTTGCACGATTTTGCTTCGGTGCAATTTATGACCGGTGTGCGTGTGTGTGTGTGTGTGTGTGTGTGTGTGTGTGTGTGTGTGTGTTGATTGATCTGTTGCGGTGAGGGTACACAGACAGTGTTTCCACTCACGATCGTGAACACCCCGCTGTAACCGAGGGGATTTTTCGTTTGCGCTCTACTTGTCACTCATAGCGTGAGTGAGACAAAAAACACCAGTACAATCTCGTCGTTTTGTCAGCGGGAGAGAAAGAGGGAAGGGATTGCAAATAATATTCTGGAATGTGTGTTATTGGTCATGGATATGAAATTGGAATGAGATACATAACCCACCAACACAGGTGAGGGCCGGAGTGGGATGAGGTGGGATGAGGGGCTAGCACCCATTCCCAGTATAACGTTTTAGTCTGCAAATTTCCGTCGTTTCCTCCTAACTCACTCTATTTTTTCCATCTAATTTAATTCTGATGACAGTCTGTAGTTCAAAATTTCATTCGCCATGATTGTTTTCAACTAGTGGTTTCTTCGGGAATGAAAACTAACACAAAAATTCAGCGATCTTGTTTCATTTTCAAATCCCTGTTTCCTGGATCTCATCACAGCAGGAAATACCTCCCCTAGCTCTGTGGTAAGCAGCACATAATTTTCAGACCCTCTTTGATTATAACAAAAATGAAACCTGGTACAGGCTGAAAACAAAAATGCAACACGGTCAGCTCATCTCTCTCCACTAGGATGCAGTGGTCGGATTTCGATTTTCTGTGTTGAAATAATTCTGGAAAAATTGCTTCTATTTAATTGTGTACAGCGAGAGCCACCGGATCGTGATTATCGCATCATACCACACTATTCATTCATCATCATCATCATCATCATCGGGTGGCTGAGAAGACCGTTGTTCTTTCATTTTCCTTGTACGCGATAGTAGCATACTTACATTCTACCTGTTAGGTCCCCGGTTCGATACCCAGTTGATTTGATCGAGTTGCAATCCGGATGAAACCTAGCCAATTCGAAACACCTGTTCACTGCTTCCTAATTTTACCGTATCCGTTTCATTCGCTCCGTATAGAACAACCATATGAACAAACCAAATCCTCTACTACTTTCGCGTAAAATGAATAGTCAAATGGGGATAGGGCTTATCATGCTCTGAGATGTTCCTCTTGCACTTTGCCAGTGCTAGTAAAGCAATTTACGGGTGGAAGTGATTCGAGACCGAGTGATTTCAGAAAGTGTTCATGGGTGTAAATTGGAGGGATGTAAAGACAGACGAACGTCAATCGCCTCCGCGGTGGCTGGGATACGATTTGTAATCGGTTTAGATGGGCGACAGTAGATAGGACGAAATGCTTCACTCACTCACTCACTCACTCACTCACTCACTCACACACACACACACACACACACACACACACACACACACCGTGTGTATGTGTGATCAGATTCGACGAGATATGAAACAATACAATACAATAGTTTCGCCGGTATTCGACTATAGACCGGACGATGTTCCCGAATTCTTGTAGATAGGCCCGTGCTCGAGCGATTGTGTTACTTTGCTCCACGGGAACACAAGCAAACAGGTACATACAAAATGAAACCGCAGGAGCAGAAAACGTATCTTCGGATTGCGGACACAAAATCGGTCTGGACCTGAATAGGACACGCAATTTAGTTGGATCGGATTTCTTGGTATCTGATCAAAGCGTTACACAGATGGTTCTATTTAACGATTGATTTATGTATAGAAAAAATCCATGTGGAGGGATCAGTACATCTGTTTACGGAATTTTGTGCCACACGAACGAAAAGAAGTCTGATTCTATTTTTGGCAAATAGGGCAGTGAAAATATGCACTGATAGCACCAATTATACAGACCTCTATCTCATTCGGGATGGTTTCCTAGAACATGCTTATCCAGAACGCTTGTGGATAGGATTGTACGAAATCCTTGTCCACGAGAGAGACACTTTCATGGGGATTGGCCGCAAACTGAGAACTGCTGCAGAGAATGCATTTTATGCGGGGAACTAGTCATTGGATGAGGTTTTCCCTCTGTCTCTACGTATGTTTATGCTTGAGATATATGCAAATACATGCAATAAAAAAGAAATCGTGAAAATTCAACGATTCATCGCGTCGGAGCAAGACATTTAATGACCATCCTATCTCGAGAGGGAACCATAGGCTATATAGGTGTACAATAATTATATATGTGCTGTCCAATGATTTGTCTTTCTGATGACCGCGGGTTGGTGAACGCGGGAGACGCGATATGGGCAGCCGAATGTTCACAGAAGTGGAGCATCTCGAGCCAGCACGTGAACACACACGCACGCACCAATTATTGTTCTCCAATGATCGTCTAAATCACCATTAAACACACTTGGGAATTCGCACTCACTCACTCACTCATGCTACTACCACTACTACCACTACTACTGATTGCGGTTGCGGTACCCGTACGACAGACAGCGAAGTGGATTGGAAACGAGTAGGTATTGGAACCCTGTGTGGAGATTTGATACCCAACTATTGGAAATAGCTCTCCAGTGAGACAATGTGGGCAAATAAACCACCGACCAATTTAGCATGAACTGCTCAATCGACTATATTATCCACCTAAGGATAAGTACTGAGAGTTTGAATGTTTGAACGAAATGAATGTATTTTACCTTCCTTTTTTATTTACTAAATATACAAATGTACAGTCAACATTCAGGAAGAGAGGCCGCAGCCGTACAAAGGCTGCCTGGGAAGACTGTTAGCTCAGCCCGGCGTATATGCGTGTAGGCAAGACAACATATATATATATATATATGAATCCTTGGAGAAGGCTCGGTGTTCATGGAATTTCGCAGGTGAAACCTTTATTCAGATTGGACATGCGTAATAACGTTGTCTCAGATATATGCATAAAAAAATAAAGGCTAAACACGCGAGTCAATCAATATAGACAGAGGTGTGCTTTAAGAACTAATGGTTCACTTTTACGAGAATTTGATGATTATTTCAGATGAATTTGGGCTGGTACTAATCAGGCGTATACAGTAATTCTCCATCTCTCTTTCTCTCTGTGACACATTGCATTGGTCATGCAATAACAACAGACAACATGCGTGAAGAACACTTTATCCCTGGGTTAAGATTACCCCCCCCCCAGCTAATAGACATTCTTCTGCACAGTTACATGGCATTCAAAAAGAACTGTTTGATGTATATATATATATATATATATATATATATACATATATACATCTACATTTGATACGACTACTTGTTTCACCGTTTTGTCTATCTCTCAAGGCAGCTTGAATTTGATTTCAGGTTTTGCAAGCCGTTATTGATTGATATCTCGCTCTCTCGCATTCCGAATTCCGTGCGTACTACTACTACTACTACTACTACTACTACTACTGTTGTAAATGAGGCTATTGTGACGAATCCATATCCATATATCTTCATTCAGATTCATTAGGAGAAACATTTTGCGTTTCATCGTTTCTACTTAAACAACCTTCGTTTCCGACCCTACTCCGTATATCACGAGAAATTTGGAGTACCCGATGGCATCACCTTGTTCTGTGATATTATACAGACAAGCCAACATGCCTTAAGCCGCTTGACGATAGAGGTATCCAGGTATGTCATGTGTATGTGCAAAGTGCTTGTTCAAGATTGGCAGTAGTCAGTGCCTGCACTCGCTCTTCTAAAGATCAGCTGGAATTACGGTAGTTAAGAACGTTCAGTACCTCGGAAGCTTGTTCGCAGCTGGTATTGGTGTTGGAGAGGAAATCGCATCGGGAATAGCAAAAGCCAGAGCAACTTTTACCAAACTGTGACACCTGTAATGTCATCGTGAAATCCGTTTGTCCGTTAAAGAAAGGGTGTACATCCCCGTGGTTCGTCGTGTTCTGCTTTACGGTTGAAAGACCTGGCCTATCGGAGCGGAAGATGCGAATCGACTTTCTGTATTCGACCACCGATGTCTCCAAAGCATTACTCGTGTCTGGTGGGAACACCGGGTGAGCAATGACGAGGTTCGTCGTCGAGTGTTGGGGGAGGATTGTCGTTATCTATCAGAAGTAATCGCTCTACACCACCTCCGATGGCTTGGTCACATATTGCGTATGCCTGCTCATCTACTATCCTTCCGTGCTGTTTTCGCGCAGGTTGAGCAAGGCTGGAAGAAACGTTGTGGCTGTCAGAGGTATGAAGAAGCTGGCTTCAGTTTTGGTTTCGATTGATGCAGCCCACCTTCCAGGTTGGGGCCCAAGAGATGAGGATTGTTGTTGGTCAGGGACACTGAGAGATATGGCCTATAATAGAAATCAGTGGTGCGGTTGAAATCCCATGCCCCGTCAAAAAGTTATAGACTAACACAAAAAATGTATCAAACGGTAAACGGTGAAACACATCCATCGTAACTGTTTAGCTTTCTTTACTTTCCGTTCTGTATCTCAATCCATCCATCCCCTATTTCAATAATAACAGAAATAGGGGATGGATATATATATATACCGGTACATAAGGGGGCAAACTATGCTATCTATTTCGTAAAATAGACAGACTGAGCTATCCTCGTGGTTTTCCTGTTGCTTACCATTCATATGGTATCTTGTTCTGAGAATATGTGCAACAAATAACTGCGCAAATCATTCAGCTCGTTTGATTCTGAATTGGATTCCCCTTTTGTTAAATTTCATTTCACTGGTGTTGTCTAATCATTCTTACTTATAAACTATGTTTTAGCGTGATATGAGTAATTATTTGTAGTATTTTTTACGCATTATTTATTTCTTTTTACAAATTATCATGACATGTTGTTGATTCAGGCATCCATTACGGAAATCAAATATGTTCTTCTTCTCTGTCCCTATTGGTCATCAACTCCCAATTCAGGTTCGAACGGTCTCGGGTTCAGTCTGACTAGTCGAGATTTGAATCCGAATTCCAATACCGCATCGGTTACCGAACGCGTGGTCTGTGTCAAAACCATTTTACCCGGTGGAGCTGCCCTCCTAGACGGTCGATTACGATCCGGGGATCGTTTGGTTCAGGTAGATTTGTCATCCATGACCAGTTTTTGAATGTCACTCTGGCCATCCCTCCCACCCTCCC